ACTCTCCAGAAAGTGAGGTCTTGGAACCTAGGCAAGAGAACCTGCAAGGGAGGGGGATGCTTCTATGTCTTCAGATTTCATCATTGGGAATTAAAGTGAATGAGTCAGACAGACAGTCAGCTGGATCACAAATATTTATCAGTTGCTTCCTCTGTGCCAGAAAAAGGGGATAGAATGATCCATAAGACAGATGCAGTCCCAGCTCTGGGGAGGCTCTAATCTAGTGTGAGATACCAAAATGAAATATATGTAGTGTTCACATTAATAGTATAACTCAGATATTAGCTCCATATATGGAGCAAGGACCAATGATTCTTCTCATTCATGCTAAAGAAGTCACTTGCCCAAAAGCATGTGTTTTGCTGAAAAAGAGGGATCTTATCTCACAGGAAACACCATTTCACTGCAGACCTCTGTACTCACTATATCTTCCTGAGTTTCTCTCAGCCACACAGCCACAAGTTTCTTTTCTCTTCTAACTCTTCTCCACATCTCTCTAGCTCATCTTCCATTTCCAGATTTTCCCTTGAGTCCCTTTTCTACTTTCTTATGTGGAACAAATTAATTCTGTCTGAGCCCTTTCCAACTTATAGATAGCTACAATTAAAAACTGACTTAGATAGCAAGACATCCACCAATTACCAGAAATTTATCTCATCAGAAGGCAGGGGACTATTTACCTAATAATTTTTATGTTCTTCACCTGCGTACATTTCTCTGCTCACTGCAGTGTCTTCCTCACCCCGCCCACTGCAGTGTCTGCCTCTTTGTAGTCTTTCCAATTCATTTGAGAGTTACCAATGGATATTTCCCATGTACTCATGAAGTGCTGTCAGTCACCAGGTGATATCCTCCATCTTCTTGTTTTTCTGTTTTAGCACTGTGTGGTATTTCCATCTGCTGTGGATACCTTTGATGCCTACATAGTTGAGTGAAGGGGTCTTGGCTCTGCCTGCAGGAATTATAGCCAAGTGCTTCCTTTTAGACATAGCTACCACTGCCATAGCCTTGCTGATATTCTTGAACCCTGAAATTGCCAGAGCAGAGCCATCAAATATGGTGCCCTTAGAATATAGAATGTGTTTCAAGAATATATCTACAGAATATGTGCTGAATGACATTGTGTTCAGTATACAAGGGAGGAGAATGCTTTCTTGTCCCTTTTGTCATTATAGGGGGTCTATATGAATACTAGAGGAGTACTTGATGGTGTTTTTGAGGAATAAACTCTAATTTATATTATTTATTGTTATTTTAGAGCAATGTATATAACAGGTGATATGGTACAGGACTAAACATAGAGAATTCATTCTAAGTATAACCTGAACAATCAGATTGGATGTTTGTTAGTAGATGGGAAAACCATACTGGTGCATCTTTGCTTAACATTAGCTCTGTTTTAAAAGATCATAACATGAATCCATGAAGGCCATGGTTGAGAGGAGGAGAAAACCCATCTTAGTTGTAGATGCCATGTTGTTCCTGTCCCCTAAATTTAAGAAATGCTTTCTCCCTATTTCCTAATACTGAGGTATTGCTGGAGGCATTATAGCTCAGTGGGATAAGAATGTGGGCCCCAGATTTAGATGGATTGAGGATCAAATTCCTGTTCTGCTACATAAGAGATCATCGATCTTGGGTAGTTCACCTGTATGTGCCACAATTTTTCTCATCTGCAAAATGGAAATGATACACAATTATGGGGGTGCTGTAAATGTTAAATGAGGAAATTAATTTGTTTTGGGTTAGAAAATGTTATGCATTATTATTGTACCACGTTCTTATATCTAACTCATTCTTTAGAATAAATTTTGTTTCACCCCGATTCTAGGCAGACTCACCCACCAAAATGCAACAGATATGGCCAGTTATATAGTGGTCAGATACTAAGTAATTCAATTAGCTCATTCACTCATTCATTTGTTCTCTCATTCCTTCAACCAAAGTGCATAGTAAGTGCTGGGAAATCAGTGATGAAAGAGCAGATTACTTTATGAGTTCACAGCTAGAGGGGTAGATAGACCAAAAAAGAAATAATTAGAAAAGCAGTGTGAGAAGTACCATTATGGAGATATGAAAAGAAGGTTATTGAAACACATCAGAGAGAGTCACTTATTGGGCCTGGAGAAATTAAGAAAGCTTCACAAAAGAAGTAACAAAGACTAGTTGTTAGGAGAGATTTAGGGCCATCAGGTTCCCATATAAATGGTGTTCCCTGTCTCACTGGAAATTTCTGGATGAGGCTAATGTTTACTAGGATTATTGTAGATAAGAGATCAGACACTTAAAGCATAAACCTCCCTATTCCAGAGCTCTAGTAATGCAAAAAAAAAAAAAAAAACAAAAAACAAAGATACAGAGCTTTCAAGATCAAGCTGCCTCAGTATTCAACTGAATACAATTATTTAGTTCTTTAGAATATTTTTTTTTTTTTTCCTTTTTGGAGGTGTGGCAGAGGAATTTTTTTTTTTTTTTTTTTAAATATGGCCTGTGTTTCAAACTCCTTCCTAAATTCTGAAGTCTCCTAACCTGCACCGTTTCTGAATAGTCAGCAACAATGACCCACCGTATTGCTGTTGGTTAGGTTCAGGTCCTTGGAAGCTTATGCTCTTTAGCATGTCACGAGGAGCCTCCCAGTGTCTCCTCAGCTGAAGTCCTAAAACATATGAGTTCATTGTACATGTCCCTGTGTTTTCCAGCTGCTTAAAATTCATCTTGAGACTTTTTTTTCCAGATTGACATTAGTACTTTCAGTGTCATGTTTTTTTGTTTCTTTGTTTTTCTGGAAAAGAAATAAATCAGTTCCTTTTACTGTCTCTCTGTCCCCTCCCCCTTTTTTAGTACTTGTATTTCAGGTTTCCTTTTTTAGTTGTCTACTTTTCCCTCAGGAAATTGTGAATTCCTTCATTTCATTTGTTCAGATTGGAAAAGTATATGAAAAAGCACATGTAGATTCACACACACACACACCCACACGGAGGAACAGATTTTTAAATCTTGGCTGTTATAAAACACAGAAACACTTTAATAGAAACCTCACTACTTTTGTGTCTTCTGCTGATTTTCAGCTATATTTAGTTTTTAACGAATCACTTAAGGTGTTGGTTTTGGACTCTCTTCTTTCCAGGAATAATTTTCAAAGCAAGCAATGTTGGAAAATGTTCTTAGACAATCTGTGCTTTGCCAGTTTACTTCATCCTTGTAGGCCTTTAAAAACTCTATTGCATGGGTTACCTGTCACTCCTGTTTGTTTTTTGGGTACAGAAGACAGATTGAATCACTTGGGTGGTATAAACTGGCTTTTAATCAGTTGTTTTACTTCTCAATATCATTACTTAGTCTGCTCTAGGACTGTGAATCCGTGCAGCTGGAGCCCTTTTGCGAGCCTTTTGGCTGGCTTGGAGGTTAAAGGACAGGCTTGGAATCAGCTGGCCAGAGTTTACACATTGGCACCATTCCTAGCTAGCTATGTGAATTGTGACCACTAAGCCTTTCTGTGACTCAGTTTTCCCATCAATAAAATGGGATTAAACATATTATCCATGTTTCGGGTTCATTGGAATAATTAAATGAGATCATGTGCAAGGAATATGTGCACAGACCTGGAAAATATTAAGCCCTTAATAAATGCCATTATTTTTATTGCACATGAGTGACAAGTCAGCCAACAGGAGGAAGCTGCAGAGACAGTTCAAGGACTTTTTTGCTATGTTTGGTATTATTTGCTTCCATTTCTGTCAGATCAGAAATTTGTTATTTGGTATGGAAAAGACTGATAAATTTCGGAACAATTTTTTTGTCCCAAGGAAATCACATTTTTTTCTGGAATTTGTTTTGCCCTCTCCTCTAACATTTCCCTACACACCAATCTCTAACCTTATTGCCCTTTACCCACTGACCTGTACCCCGAGGACACAAGAGTCAACATCTGTGACTTCTATTTTTATATCATGACTGCAGTTGAGAAGCTCCATTTCTGAAAATCCCTCCCAGTTCTTGATGAAAGCCTCTGCTCATAATTCATGTTTTCTGCACATACTTAGTAAAGATTTCAGTGCCATAACCTTAATTCTATAATTATCACCTATTCTTTATGTTTTACTGAACCTTTTGTTCAAATGTTTACACCCTACATGTGGGAAATTACCTTCCGATAATTTTTGTTTCTTATTTAATAGAAGCAGTGATTTCTCCCGTACAGCTCTTTGCTGGCCCATTGACACACCTGATGTATGTTTATTCTCAGATAATTTTCTTGTGCAGCCACAGGAGACTTTATGGGGAACTTCCTTAGCAGAGTTAAAGACAGCCATAGCAACACCAAGAGGTCCTTGTGAAATCTATGATTAGGATGTACCACAGGAATTAATAATTCTCTGGCCACTGTCTTAAATTGTAACCAGACTGTTTTTGTAAGTTGCTCAATTTATATACATAGAGCACAGAGAGCTATATTCTGATAAGGGGACCAGTTTCATTTAAAATCCTTATCTCAGAAAGTACTTAGCTTATTCTGCTTAATATGCACATGCTGTCTATATTCCTTTGAGTGACAAGTTGTGACATTTTTTTTTCTAATTTGACCCTCCCTGACAATTTTCTCCAACTCCTTAAAGTCTAAGTGAATATGATGAGTGAGAGAATACCATCTCTAAAAATGGTTTTTAATATCTTTTTCCCAGAGTCAAGAATAATTTTTTAAAAAATTAATATTTATACAGATTTAGCATTCACTATCAAAAATTATTTTACTGGACACCATGCCAATTTCTTCTTAGAGTTCCCCAATTAAATAGTAACTTTAAAAACATACTGCTAGTTTGCTAGGTTTTAGTAGGTCAGCATGCACAGCAAAAGTGTATTAAGGTGGACTGCTCTATTTATTGATTTGCCCTGAATTTACTAAAGGCTGGAGGCAATTGTCTGCGGAAGGGGAGGGAGGGCCATACATGATCGAGGTCATGCGCATCTAGCCAATTTGTAAGATGATCCGCTGCTCCAAGCCTTCAGCAATCCTTAGCATAGGGGCACACTCATGCATTCCTGTCAAGTCATCTTGTGAAAGGCTGCCTGCTTCCAGCTTGGCTTGGATGTGCAACCTTAATAAAACTCACTGAGGTCTGGGAGAAAATAGCAGATCTGCTGCAGATAGGGTAGGGGAAAGGGTCTAGAATATGTACACGCAGCTGACTCAGGCAGGCTCCACGTTGAACGGTTACACAGAGAGGAAACAATAAATCTCAGCTACTATGCAATAAATATCTCAAGTTTTAACTAAGGAAACTACCATTACAGTGAAATAAAAAAAATAACATTTTAGAACAAAGCTAACAAATGGCTAGTTTTCTGTGATTCTTCTTCAAAAGCTTTCTTTGAGGGGGAAAAAGTCAAACAAACAAGCAGTTTTACCTAAAATAAAAACTAGTTTAAAGGTCAGAAGAAAGGAGCAAGTTTTGCGAGAGGCACGGAAAGAGATTGCTGGCAGTACAATGACAGTTTTCCTTTCCTTTGCTTTCCTCGCTGCCATTCTGACTCACATAGGGTGCAGCAACCAGCGCCGAGGTCCAGAAAACGGTGGGAGAAGATATAACCGGATTCAACATGGGCAGTGTGCCTACACTTTCATTCTTCCAGAACACGACGGGAACTGTCGTGAGAGTACGACAGACCAGTACAACACAAATGCTCTGCAGAGAGATGCTCCACACGTGGAACCGGATTTCTCTTCCCAGAAACTTCAACATCTGGAGCATGTGATGGAAAATTATACTCAGTGGCTGCAAAAAGTAAGTGATTGCTTTCAGTTTCTAATTGCAGAGCCTTTTCCATGCTTGCACTGCAGCTGACTTAGAGTTCCTTAGGGGGGCATTTGTGTGTTTACCTTTTGCTCCTGGGGGCAGTGTTTGCAAATCCAAGACTGTTCTCTCTCTGTGACTTCATGGGTGAGCCAAGGTTTTCAGGCTTGTGCAAGCCTCTGAAGGTATGGTGGCAACCCATTTATGTGCCTAGCAATGGCACATTTTATGATATTTTTGGTTTCCTCTTATTTAAAATTGAGCTTGATTTTTCTGACTTGTCAAAGCCCAACTTAAAAAAGAAAAGCACGTATGTCTTGAGACCATTGGTGAAAAAAGAAAATAATGACAATACTAATTTAGGATCAGATAGATTTTACACCAGGAAATTTTCTGCAGCTAGGGTGAGAAATCATCACCAAATACTTATTTTTTCAACCTCTAGTACAGTTAATATGAAATGGAGTATATATAAAGTATGATATTTGGAGAAATTGTGTATGTATATAAAGGCAACTTAATTTTAGCAAGTAGCAGAATAGCGGAGGACAGATTTCTGTCATATTTTTTCCGTCCTTGAGAAAAAAAAAAAATCAGGAAGGTAAATTTTAATGTGAACTCTTCAGGAAGAGGTTGTTTGCCTGGTGTGGAAGGAGAGATTGAGCTGGTGGTTGCTGTTGCCAAAGACATGCACCTGCAGATTTGAGCTGAGCACAACATGGGCTTTGCTATCTTCCTGAAATACCTCCTTTTTCAGGACATTGTAGTCACCAACAGTGTCATGTGGGAGTCTTAAGTATCCAGATGAATGTTAATGTCGAGTATGCAGTTAAAACCCATTTATAAAAATCAAAATGAGCATTTTATTCAGTTTTTCTCTATAAATCATTTAAAAGTTTTTGTTGAAAATGTCTATTAAATTATGAACACACTTTCTGCAGTTCCTTCTTTCTTTGCTGTCTGTTTAGTTGAGTAACAGGTAAACAGCAGATAAATGTATTCAACTACGTCTGTGGAAGAGTGGCAATGTCACATTTGTGAAAATTCTTCTCTCCCACGGATCTTTGCTAAAAATCCATTTGGTGCATATAGGTAGGAACGTAGTCAGTCCAGTCTCCTTTAAGTTAGTCTGTTAACAGAGCAAACCCTTTAAGAAGATAAGGAGAGGACAAATGCTCTATTTTTTCCCCCCTGTGTTGTCACGCTCACTTCCAACACTGCCTGCTCAATCATGCCAAGTAACAGTTATTCTACTTTTGTCCGCTAGGGACTGAACTAAGATCACTGATATTTTATTTGACAAGTTAACTGAAACTCCATAGATTCAGAGTTTCTAAACCCGGAATTGTAGTTAATCTTGCTATTGTAGACTACAGGTGAAAAAGATCAATAGGGGCAGAAGAATAGAAAGCAAACGGAATCCTGAAGCCGTTTGATAATTATACTTTAAATTTCAGGCACTAATTATAGCAGCAGTTTATAATAGGATATCTGTTTTTTCTTTGGCAAAATTTATTTTCACAGTAAACAAATTAATTTGGTTAAACAGTTTTTTACTCTTCTCAATATACCATCCATATAGTTTTTAATGAGATTTCAATCGTAAATTAGTCTGAGTTCTTTGAAGGGGCTGGGGAGGGAAATTTAGTCCCAAATTGTCCTGAGTGAGCTATTCTACCAAAAATGTAATATTTTGTTTACTTAAAACATACAGTTAAAATGGTGACTCAAGCATAGTAATGCATATTTTTTTGTTGCTATGCAATTATTCAGCAGTGATAGGGTAAATACATGATTCTGTTGGGCTTATGTCATGCACATGTTTCATATGTTAATTTATTGTGTGAAATAAATTTGATTTTTGTTTACATTGTTCTTGGTCAATGATTATGGCATAGTTTTCAGATTATAGCCAAGCATAACTATGCAAATGTTCTTTGGTTACATTGACCCTTGCTAACGTGATTCTAGCTGATTATATGCTGAAAATGTCCCTGTTGGTTTGAGTCAGAGCAGTTTGGCTTGACTATTGTCTGTTTAAATTTGCATATCTTTTGTCATTGTTAATGCGATTGGTAGGAGGATCAAGAAACCAAATAGATTCTTTCAGCAAAGAACTTGCTAAAAAGCTCTCCCAAGTTTCCTTTAATTAGAGGTTTTTTTTTTTACTTTAGGTTCTAAATTTCTTGTATTTATTTTGATAATTCAAATGGAAATCTTTTTACTGTAACTATTTGGTATGCTTACTGCTGCAAATTGTACTACTTCTATTTTAATTCCGAATAGTTGTGTTAGGATAAAAAGCAATGCACTGCAGAAACTGAGGCTAGCAGTGTAAATGCAATTAATTCATCCATTCAGCAAAATAATTAATCAAAGCATGGTGATTATTATGCAGTTCATGGCATCACTATCAGGAAAGTTTTTGATGCAGGATGTGTGTTATCAATGCTAGATGCTGCTAGATGATAGTTTATGTTAATCTGATACCTTCCATGAAGTTTGGTAAACTGGATTCTTTAACAGATATTCTTCACAAGACACTGACTTCACTAAAAGTCACCTTATGAGATTTACACTCTCAAATCTCATTTCTCAACTTTTCTGGTCTTGCAACTAAATAAGATGAGAAGTGAGGTGTGCAAAGGAGCAGATGATGTGTTGGCCACCGTAAGTGTTGAAATTATTATGGAACTTATCTTTTGATATGATGGATTTCATTCAAGGAGATCAACTTTGCATAGTAACCTGTGAATTAACACCAATTGTGAGTTAGGTTGATAGCATTATTCTCACTTATCAGATGGGGAAGAGCAATATTAATAATATGCTCAAAAATCACCATTTAATTAGGTAGAACACCTAGGCTGTATGTCTGCATTTGACTCTCTTCAATCATATAGTTCTTTTCAGAATTATTAGTAAATCAAACCCAATACCTGAGAGGGACCAGGTCTTGGGATAATAACAAGAAATACAAATGGCTTTTGTGTCTTTGCCACTTTCTTGTGATTCCTTTCTACCTTTCTATAAAAGAGAAATGTCTAGTGTTTAATGTCTACTTTACATCCCGTGCTTCTTGAGTTAATATTTTCTTTCTCCTGTATCCCAGAAATTCAAAAATATTATATTTAAATACTCAGATTTAATCATATAAATTCTAGAATTTGAGGCAATGCTTAGAAAGTCTTTTGCCTTTGCCAAATGATGTCTTTTTGTTGTTGTTGAAAGTATAGAGTCAAAAAACGTGCCCTGTAACAGACAACAGAGGTCTATCTACTGTAAATATTTTACACTAGCTAAAATTGATGAGCTGATGATTATTAGTAGAAAATGTGTTCTGAATTGCCATCCAGAATATTCTAAAGGATGAAAAATTTTTACTTGAAACACTTGGCTAAATGTTTCTATTGACAGCATTTTTTGACTAACATCCTCTATTTATTTCAGAGAATTATGATGATCTTTTTACAATTCATGTATACAGATATTAACCTATATTAATATCCACTAGAATGTGACCTCCATGAGACCAGTGACCTTGTGTGTTTGTCTGTTGCCATATGCCCAGGGCCTTAAGCAGTATATAGTCCATAGCAGATAGACAATAAATATCTGTTGAATGAACAAAGAGATGCATTGTTTACATGTTATAGTCTATACTTTACCATGTACTATTAGCAGTTTGTTTTGGATATACAATTTACCTCCCTAAATAGATGGTGTGTTATCATTTAGGCAAGTACTACATCCTATAATTAATTACTTTTGTCCTGATATTAATCAAAACGATATTGGATCTAAGGTAGGTGGTGGTTAATTATCCAAATTGTACTTAGCCAGTGATCTAGGATCTCAAACTTCTGCATTCACTCTACCTTGTCCATTTAATTATTCTTTAAGAGTCAGCTTTGTTGTCAGTTTCTCTAGGAAATATACCTGCATTCCACTTCCCCTCCCAGGTTGAGCTCTCCAGTGTTATAATAAAGTTGCATGTATCATGTTCACACTGCACTTCCATGTTATGTGGTTGTTGTCATTTTCATTATTTGTTTTGAGGCCTGTTTTTCCACTCAGACTATGAGTCCCCTCGAGTGTAGTGAATGTTTCTTTATCCATATGTATCTGAAATGTTTACTGAGTGTTTGAACAATATCTCTGTTATCATCATACTATAAAAATAAAAGACATCAGGTGCTCAACTGTGTGGTGCTGGGATAAAATAATGAAAATTAGGAGACCTTGTAACTGCTTTTAGATGCTAAAATTTGCTTGAATCCTTTGTGATAGATTACTTGAGGGTCAGCTAGACGTTCCTTTGGGAGGAAAAATAATTTTGTACTTCCAGGCCAGTAGGTAACAATTTACCACAAGTAATAATGACACATATTTACATATAATATGTGCATATGTGAATATAAGTAACTGGAAATGATTTCCCATCTGTGCATTGTTTTGGGGACTGTTGATCATGCAAAATAAAGCAGAGAGGATGTTCTATGTTTTATTTGCACATATTGGGGGGAGAAGGCTTCCTGAATGTGTGGAAAAGAGCAGACAATTGATAAATATGTTTTTAAATATTAGTCACTAGAAGAAAATATGCATATATGATTTATACACAGAGGTAGAAAAATATGGCAGTTGCCAAGAAAGGTGAAAGGAATAATTGCCTTTTAAATCCAGTTATAGAAATGTCCCTACCAAGTTCATTTGAGATTAACCCTTGGTTTTCAAGCCAAATAGGAACTCTTTAGTTAATACCCCTGTATTAACTTGTCAGTGAATAGTTAGGTGTTATTTTTTGCTTGTTGTATTTTAGAATCAAAAGGCAGAATAATCTTTCTGGGCCCTAGAAGTTGGGCAGTTGGAGTTACAACACTCTTTGGATTTCTCTGTAAGAAGGAGCAAGCCTCTCCCCAAATGGTCTACATTGGCAGATCAGGGCAAGTAGGCCCTTTGCTATGGGTGATTGCAGCCCTTCTTTACCC